GTGTTCCTGCTCTCAGAGGGCACGACAGTCTGCTAACTCCTGAAAAATCAGGCCAACTGCATGTCCAGGTTATGGAATGCAGTTTCGCCGCGAATCGTTGTCGGCTGCAAATCGATTGTGGACTGGGCTGCAGAGAAGCATTGGCACCGGGTGATCAGTAAACAGCCAGGCATCTCGACAAGCAGAAGTACGTTGCGACTGATCTAGTTCGTCGATGACGTCATTTGCCGACGTCGTGTCACATTGACAACGGACTATGGTTTCTCCTCCCTCTGAGGGAGAAGGAGAGTGAAACTGCACGAAAATTTGAAAACAGCTGAAAGCGGTGTTCTAACTCGGTAACTTTCTTACTATAGCATGATTTCACAAAATTCTTGTAGCAGCATGCTCACGAAGTAAAAGTACACATATTTCTCTTTATAAGACTTTTTGGACTTTGGGGTTGTTTATGGCCCTTTAAATGTGAATGCTAAAACGCCATTTCTTCAGCCTCTTCTTTTTCTTTCAACTTCTGTCGAAGCTCAAGTGATGTGGCAGACAAGGCAGCACTTACTTCGGGTGCAGAGTTCCAAATCTGACTCATAGATGTCAATATATATAAGAGATCTGAAATTTTGAATTAAAGAAATCTTTGGAGTCTGATTTTTGAACTTCCTGCCCAAATTTCGGGTCCAAAACACCATTGAGCCCTTACTCCACCACATCTGCCATGTTGGAACTGGCATTTTCTTGAGTCAATATACTTGTGACCGTAAAAGAGCTAGAACCTTTACCGCAATACATCATCATAATTCGGTATGCACTATAAAAACTGGGCAAGTCCCACTACTCACCACTAGTCCACACAAAAAAAAAAATGAAGGAGCCAACAGTTAGTCCTATAAATGAGTCTTTGCGACAGAAACTTGAGTAGCCTATGAGAAAAACTTTATCATCATACATGGGTATGTTGGGTAAATCCCGCTACACAAATTTCCACTAAAAAGGAAGAAGGTAACAATCGCTGGCAGCAAGCCAAAGACCCCTAGTGCGTACAGCGAGAGATTACTGAGGAACAAAAAAAAAAAAAAAAAAAAAAGGGAATGCCGACTGCAAAAAGACCCCGAAGCGCAGAAAGCCAACGACGAAGAGCTCATGTCATGTCTATGACTAGCAGTGGTACCACCCAGCTCAGACCCTAGTAGCAACTAAGTGCACACCACTTGTAACATACCTCTCATAGTGCAGGAATGGTTACAATGCCGTATTTTTCGAGTTCCGTTTACCCATTGATAGAAACCCACATATGCACGCACACTGCTAATGTGCAGTCCCCCAAGATAAAACTGGTTATAACGCGGTTGCTGGCGAATCTTTCTGAGAAATCTGGTGGTGAGTGCACTTCTGAAAGGAGGTGTAGTGGCTGCACCTCTGCGGAGCGAGCGTTGTAACGCAGTTGCTGGAAAATCTTTCTGAAAAATCTGGTAGTGAGTGCACTTCTGAAAGGAGGTGCAGTGACTGCATTTCTGCGGAGCGAGCGACGAGGTCGCTATGGAGGAAAAGAGGACATGGAGTAACGGAGGAAAAGAGGACGTGGGGTAACGAACGAGGGGCAGAGGGAAGAAAAAGAAAAGGAAAAACATGGCAAGATGTGCGGGCTCGAGTGAGGAAGGAGGGTGGTTGCCTAGGCGACTGTTAACATATTTACTCATGTAATCCTCGCACATGCATAATTCTCGCACCCCCCACATCGCCCAACAAAAATATAATTTTTTTTCCTCCAGTAATTATTGCACTTCCGAAAATTGCCACAATAATCTCATCTGCTTGTTCTAGCCGTTGTTCATTAGAGCGCGCGCCATCTGGCGTTATCTCTTAAGCATCAAGTGTAATATTATTGCACAGAGATTCAATCCAATCCAAGCCAAGCCAAAGAGGCAAGTGCGCGTTGCGGCGTGTTTTGCATGTTGTGTCGGCGATCTTGTTACGCTATGGGGCGACACTGAAGCTACACGGCTGCTTACAAGTTGAAAGTGATTGATCATGTACTAAACAACGGCAACAGGGCCACCGGTAGGCTCTTCGTAGTCGAGTTTTGTGTTCGCTACTGGTGACGGCAGCTGAAAGCCACCAAGACGCGTTGGGCCTGCCGTGTGCATAAGACTGGGATTGATGGTAAACTTTATTTCTTAAGAAGGAAACTGCGGACAATTCTGTTAAAAAGCCATCAGCCCAATACTAACATCCTTTGCTTACCTTTTTCAGGGCTCCTGTTAAGTGACGAATGCTACCGCTACGCTTGCAATGCCCACAAGCTTTGCGTATGGTATTTTAATTCTCGACTATTTGCTTGCACTTTTTGTGCCTCAAATAAATTTTGCATTGAGTTGAATCTGTGCTTTTATTTTTGAGGTAAGTTTTAAGTAATACTTCTCAAAGCTTGCTGTTAGTTGCTGGTGTGAGAATCCCGATTTGCGGCCACTTCTTTTTCTTTTTCGCTCTGTATGTTTTCGTGAAAAGTTTTCCCTGCGTGATTCTCGCACCTCCCAACTTTGCATCGGTTTTACGCCAAAAAAAGTGCGAGGATTATGCGAGTAAATACGGTAAGCTTTTTCATTCGTGCGGCAACAGCATACTAGCATGGCTCCAGGTGCTGGCCGACTGCAAGCGGCTCAATGTACGATCCCGCCCTAGTCAACTACGCTTAGTTTCTGTATGGTCCTAGTTTCCTGTTGACAAAATTGTTGTTGTCGATCTTGCTACAGATACCGTGTTTGCTACTTCATCCACCAATTTAAAAGTTCTAAGGTGTTATGACACGAGTTTTCCCCTTTGCAGCCAGTATGCGGTCTCACATTAGCTTGAAGGGATTTTGTTTTTTTTTGATCTCCCAGTCATGAATGCAAACTTTGTGTCATGCACGCTGTTCTCGGTTCAGAGCTTGAATGCAATATTTTCAATGCCCGATCTTCATGTCTTGAGAAAACTTCCTACGGCAACATGCCAAACAGCAGGCTAGCCCTAATCGGCATTGGTTGCATTTCAGTAGGAGACGCATGAAATCTAAGTTGTGGTTTTGTATGAAATCAATGAAGCTCTTTGTGGTGGCAGCACTGGGAGGGAAGGGATACAGATTGTCAATGAAAACGAGGATGGCAGGTGTGGCACTCATATGGTGCATGGTTTGCGATTCGATTGCAATGTCTTGAAATTACACGTCTTTTATCATGCAAAATTTTGGATGTGATTCAACACAGTTTCTGTGCAATGCACATAGTTGTGGCAGTCTGAGAAGGAGTTGGAGAATCATCACGATGGTGCTTTCTTTTGATAGACCCCTCCTGCATCTTTCACGTTCCTTTCGTTGGAAATGGAGGTTTTCAGATGTTAAATTTCTTTAACATTAGAAAATTTGCATATTCGTAAGGACCATGCATCGCATGCTTCGATTCTCGGGCATGCAAGACTGTATGTTCCCCAAGTTTTGCACAACTGCAGCCCTTGGAAAAGGTTTTTTTGCTTACAGTGGTACCGCTGCTTATAGTGCAGATACAGTCGCCCACCGATTTTTCGGACCTGGCGGGGACCGAAAAAAAAAAGTACGAAAAATTGAACAGTCCGAAAAATTCGTTTTCGCCAAAAATCTGAAGTTTATTGCATCAGGCAGGTTTAAAAAAGTCCTTGATGCTGCCTTGCCTCAAACTACGCTTGGAGGCAATTTGGTTTGCCCGTATTTGCGCCAAGGTGACATCGTCGCCGTAAACGCTCGACAAAATTGTCACCGCGTTGGCGATCTCCGACGGCTGCGGGCGGTCGTTGTTGTCGTCATCCGAGCCGCTCTCCGGCTCCGGGACAACCTGGCGAAGAATTTCGTCGTCAGTGGCCTCCGCGCACGAAACAATGTCGTCGTCCGCACGAGAAGTCTTTAAATGTCATTGTGGCAGGTAGAGAATCCTTCTTTCGCCTCCTCCCCGTGCGATGTGATGACGATAGTGCTGACCGAAGACGAAAAAACGGCATCCATCACCGCGTCTTTTAAAAAGCAAACACGGCCTCCGAAACTTAAAATATGGCGTGCGCATTCCAATCTCGGAGGCAGGAAAGGCATCTGAAGATCAAGCTTAGCCATGCCGACGGAAAATCCAACATGGCGGCGTTCACAATGGCTTGAGGCGTGGCACAAAACGAGCGAATTTAGTCCGAAAAATCGAACTTTTAGGGGCAAATTCGCCCGAAAAATCGGTCGAAACAATGCATTAGCTCAATGGGATCCCTGACGGTGCATTTATGAAGTCCGGAATATCCAACAAGTCCGAATTTTTGTAGTCCGGAAAAGCGGTCGGCGACTGTTTCATGAATATTGCCACTTATGTTATAACTGTATATTTTCTGTATTGCCACTCTTGCTTGGACCGAACAGGTCTGCAGTATATTGAAATAAATAAAATAAATAAACTGTCTATACTGCATATCAGTCTTCAGAATTGTCCCCTTTTGCTGTATTAAGACTTGCATGACTTATTGCAAGCTTTGCCATTTTTCATTTTATGTTTTCGAAATTCTTTACTTCTTTGTTTTTTCATACTGCCGTATTGTTTACCATCCTTGAAACACTCTGTGTGTAACACCAAAATCTTTCGGCCACTATACTTCGTATCAAAGGTATAATTGCAAAATGAAGTTTTGATAACACAAAGTGCTCCCTGCTTTTAACAGATTCACTAGATCATTTTATAACTTCCCGTACTATCAGCATCAAATGAAACCCAAACAGCGGCAAGCCTTCTAGACAGTGTAGTGCACGCCGTCCAGTTATCAACGTTGACAGGCACGTGCATGCTGTTTGGCAGCTCTGCGCATATACGCGTGCATGTCCGCGGTGATAGCTGGACGGCCCGCACTATACCATTACGAAGGCTTGCCGCTGTTCGGGTTTCATTGGACGCTGATAGTGCATGGGTCAGAAATGTATGAACAAAACTATGTTAGCTTTTGTATGTGAAGAAGATAAGATGACACACCTCATCAGTGAGGGTTAAGAAGGGAACAACCCGCATGAGCAGCTGCAAAAGACGTGGACTAGGCCTGCCAGTGCCGACTTGGGTCAGGAGGAAAGTGATGTCGTCCCGCGTAACACCTTCTGGAAGCTGAGGAGGCACATGGGCAGCTCCCTCAGCCAGTACAGCCTCCAGTGTCGCCAGAAGCTGCTCCGCAAGAGCAGCCTCCTGTGCTCCAAGTAGCAGCCGCAGTGCTCCCAAGAGGCGGGCAACAGCGTGCAATGATGGCTCCAAAAGATGCAGACGATTGCTCTGAACCTGTCGAGCCAGGAAAATGCATGTCTTGACTGAGCATACTTTTGTACCAGAATTTATGATAAAATGTTTGCATAAGGTTTTGTTACTTTACGCCATACTGTGAACTAGGACAGACAGGAGTGCCAAAACAACTTAAGTCCGATTTGCAAATTACTTCTCCTTGGTATTAGTACATGAAATCATCAACACAATGCTCACTGCAAACATGTATGCCCCATGTTTCCCACTCTGTACTGCATGTTTAGCAGGCACTGCTCAGCCTTGCATTAGAGATCTTCTGGCAGCTGTGTTATGCTTCACTTTTATTTTATAACTGAAAATTTCATTGTACTGCACTGATTTCACACAAATTTCACTGAAGGATCACATTTCTTGGTCTACACTGGCTTATCAACCTTTTTCATAAGAAGGTGCTCTGGAGCTTCTGCAAACCAACACCTTCCATAGATTCAATGTAAAATGACTATACGGAATACACCATACCGGCCAATTAAAGCACCTAAAAAAATCAGGAACGTTGTGCAGGGTGAATGCTCCCAATTTATCATTAAAAATTTTATCATTAAAGATTTTGTCATTAAAGAGAAACTAAAGGAAAACAATAACTTGGTTCAGATTGATAAACTGTACTCTGAGAACTCTAATTTAGCAAGTTTCAACAGCATAAGTTTATTATTTTAGAGGTTAAAATCAAGGTTGGAGTTTCATATTTTCAATTTTGAACCAAGATCTCCACACGTGACACACTGATTTAAAAATGTACACGATAAAAATTTCTAAAACTTTGCATGTCACATCTAAAGCCCCCTTCAGATGACAATGTTAGTTAATTCGGTTTTTTATGGCGAAAAAGCAACTGAAGCTATGCTGTGCCAGACACAAGGTGTAACAGAGACGCGTGTTCAGATGATGAAGTTTTAGAGCTTATTTGAAAAGCCACATTCTCTCATGAAGTTCATCATGTCACGCGCGGTTAGCAAAGAATGATCTCCTAGAAGTAAAGACGGGTGTAAAGGTATATGTTGTTTGTATAGTGTCCTAAAATAATTTTTTTCTCTGTGTTTCAATAGCGGGGCATTCGATTAGGATGTGTATAACTGATAGCGGTTCTTGGCAATTTTCGCATATTGGTTGTTGTTCCTTTGTGAGTAAAAAATTGTGTGTCAAGTGTGTGTGCCCAATGCTAAGTCGGCATAATATAACTTCGATGAAACGTTCTTGGTGACAGGTCTTCCATCCACCAAGTATAAACTTCACTAGATGAAGCTTGTTACTCATGCACAAGTCCCACTGTTGCTGCCATTTTGCTAACAAAAATAGAGAAATTGTACGCAGGCTGTCTATGGGGAATGTTTACTTTTGATACTGTTTCATCAGCTGCCATTGAAGCATACTTATTTGCTTTTTAATGTTCAGGTATCCCAACATGGCTTGGGACCCAGCAGAAATGGATTGAAACTGCTTAGCTATTTGAAGATACCATGTCATGCTCGATCACGATTACAAAGACTTGTCTCGTGGTGGTCTTCATTACAAGGTCTGAAGTGGTAGCAGCGGGATTAACGAGATGCCATTACAGTGGATCCGAGACGTGCATCTGCGATGTTCGCGATGAGTGAGGCACCCTATCGGAATCTGATGACTGAACTTCTGCTTGCAGCTGCCGTAACTAAATCGCGACCATGAACACAGAAAAAGTGCCCAAAAAAGTTGCAAGTAGCACAATTTTGAATGGCCATCCTGTTTAGGAATTACGTTATTAGAAAACACCCTTGTTCTTTTTATTTCCACAATTTTTGCCACCTCAGCAGGTGCAAAATTTTTTTTACAGCATCTTCACATAGGTTTCAGTAGACACTTTTGATTCAAAGAAAAAGGGCTTAAGAAACTAAAATTTAATTTTCAAAAAGTCTTTTTCAACCCCCATTGAAAATAAAATTGTTTGTGACTGGTAATTCCCATTGGTTATAACAGACTCACGTGTTCACACGAAAGTCCGTTAATGAGCATTTGTGCTAATTATCAGCATTGATGTACTCTTACTGTTCATTGCCACGAATGTGACTGCGCCCCCTTTTCCTTCAACATTATGATATTGTTGCATCATAAAAATCGGGTAGCAAGGGAAGTGATTGAAGCCTTCCACATTCTTTATTACGTTAAGCTTTATTGGCGCAAAGTCCTTTAATGCCAAAGAGTGCCAGTACAAGTGTTGTTTCATTTCAAGTTATTAGTCTAAAAACAAATGCTGTGTAGAGAATGTCAATAAAATATTTGAAACAGGGCATTTAAAAGGAACGTCACTTTGTTACAGGCCTTCGTTTCGCAGGCTGGGGTCTGATGATAAATGTCAGCTAGGCCAGAGACCCGCACGGCTGAAGTCCTTGCCTGAGCAAGAACTGCGAAGGCTCAGACATACTTGTGTTTTTTGCACCAGGCGGTACCTCACACGTGAAGCCCAGCCTGGTGTCTAGGATGGAAAGATATCATTGTTAGAAATTTTACTTTTGCAAGATAATGAACAAGTCTCTTAAGGTCAAACACTGCACTGAGTGTTAAAAACAACCCTGGATGGAGTGGGATATGATACCGACAGAGCTCCCTGAAATGAGTCAGTCGTGCTGGGTAAAGCACAGAGAATTCAATCAAAACATGCAAAACGATTAGACTCTCTCCGCAGTGTATACATGTAGGTGGATCCGTGCCTGTGAAAAAGTGTTCATGTGTGGCCTATTCTGAACCATGTTAGAGTGACTTCAGTGAATCTGTTGAGTTTTTATGGGATAACTTTCTTTAGTTGGGGTTTGACTAGGTGGAGCTTGTTGACCTGCTTGTCCCATTTATCTTGCTAGTGGTTGCGTAGCCCTCTACGTACAACAGGCTTTAGATCCACCCCCGGAACAGTTGTTATATCTATAGCTTGCCTATCAGCGGCTTTTCGTGCATTTTTGTCAACTATTTCATTGTCCACAATCCCAGAATCACCTGGCACCCAGCAAATAACAATAGAAAATTTCAGGTTATAGGCTGCATAGATTTCATTAAGGAGCTTGTTAAAAGTGGGGTTCTTGCTGTACTTGCCACAAGACAGGGCTGTGACAACACTTAAAGAATCTGTGTACACTATAGACTTTTGTATCTTGTGTTGTATAATGTGTTGTATAATAAGCAGGGTACCATAGGCTTCCGACGTGAAAATACTGATATGTGTATGCATGGTTCTGGTGTTGGAGAGTTTTGTCCATAGGCTGCACAGGATACAGATGTTTGAGACTTTGAGCCATCAGAGAAGAATGCGGCTGAACAATATTCGTGCTCAAAGGCCAAGAAATGTCGCTCAATGAATGCACTAGGACAATTTTTCTTTTTGAGGTCTTAGAAGGACCAGTCACAAGTTACAGGACACTGCTGCCAGGGAGGGATGTGTTTGGCATAGTCACTTTCCTGTAAGCCATTGAAAAAAATGCCAAGTTTTTCTACTGCAGGTCTTATTTCCGATGGAAACGGTGGGGCAATAGAAGGACGGTTTAGGTATAACTGAGTAGTGGACACATCATTCATAAGTGTTTTGCATGGGTGCTGCTTCATAGACATGATCTTAACTGCATAGTTGACTCCTAGATACGTGCGCTGATAGTCTAGTGGCCACTGATCTGACTCTGCATAAAGGCTTTGAATAGGGCTGGTACGGAAGGCACCAAGTGCCAGCCGGATACCTAGGTGGTATACAGGGTCCAACATTTTCAGTGCTGTCCTTGAAGCTGACTGATATACTATGCATCCATAGTCTATGCGTGACAGAACCAGGCGAAACAGAGATATGAGACAGTGCCTGTCTGTCCCTCACGACTGGTGCAATAAAATCTTTAAAAGGTTCATGGTCTTGAGACATTTCAGCTACAGTTGTTTTATATGCTTTATAAAGGTGAGTTTAGCATCGTAAATTACGCCAAGAAATTTTCGTTCTTTCGCAATAACTAAGCTTTGTCCATTCATTAGTATGCAGGGGTCAGGATGTACACCTCTTCGTCTGGAGAAAAGCACACTAGTAGTCTTGTCAGTGTTAAACTTAAAAACCATTCTCATCAGCCCATTTCGCAAGGCTGTTAACACCCAACTGTATCTGGCGTTGGCATACAGTCAAGCTACACGATTTGAAACTGATTTGGATGTTGTCCACATATATGGAGTACGATATCGCAGGTGGAATAACAGAGCGAAGAGAGCTCATTTTAACTATAAAAGGTCCAATCACCCGGGGTCGGCTCAACCACCAGTATCCTCTTTTCCCCAGACATGGCAATGCCATGCACGGCTAGGCGTGGGAGGGAGTCGAAACTCCCCTGTTAGCTCGTGTCCGTGGTGACGCTACGCACCAAACGCCTGCTGTCGCAGACGCCCCTGCAGGTTCCAGGAACATATTAAGTGCAACGTATTAACACATAGCTCTACGGGGGCATTTCTAGTTTTCGCAATTTCGACCGTAGGAGCCGGGAAATCGTATTAAGCAGGAATGCACAATGAGGTTCTACTGTATATATTGTGAGCACGACAAGTGAATGACTCTTCATTCTCTTTAGATATCATCATCACCTGTACATCTTCATCATCTGTAAATATCATCACCAGTGTGATTTAGCTCAAGCCTGGCTGAATAAACCAGTTCCTCACAAGTGGTGGACGGTGCTTTCCGTTCCCTCAAGTCCTCTCGCCCGTTCTCACTGGAGCTCCGCTCGGGTCGTCGCATACATCCCCCAGCCATGGCGGCTCAAGAAAACCCTGGCCCATCCAACGTTGCCGTCCTACTGCAGCCACCGCCACCTGCTCCGCCCAACAACATTCGCCTGCGTGATCCACCTGTGTTTTCCGGTCTCCGAGGCAATGATGTCGAATACTGGATTAAGAACTACGACCTCGTCAGCGATTTGAACAGGTGGGACAATCCACAGAAGTTGCGCAGCGTCCCATTTTACTTGTTTGATGTTGCCAAAACTTGGTTC